ACAGAGAACCATATACCCTGCTTGCTAGAGAGGGAGGGAGGGAGGGAGGGAGGAAGGGCCCTGCTTGCTTTATACCCTGCTTTTCACCAACCAAAAAAATTATACAAAACGTTTGTCCAGAATCATATACCCTGCTTGCTAGTAGGGAGAGAGGGAGGGAGGGAAGGCCTTACTTGCTTTATACCCTGCTTGCTAGAGAACACAGAGAACCATCCAAAATCATATTCTTCATTCAATTACCTACCTACCAAACTTGTTTGAAACAGAAACGTGCAGAGTTCCAAAAATTTGCTCTCAACTCTCTCTCTCTCTCTCTCTCATATTGCTTTGTTTCTTACATTCCTTCCTGGGCTCTTTCACAACAAAGACGAGTAGACATGGATGTGGTGGGGATCTTTATCTCTCCGCTGCTTCAAGCTGTGATTGACAAGTTGTTGTCCTCTGATTTAATCAACTTGGCGCGTCGTGAGGGTGTCGACACTTCCATCAAGAAGCTGAAGAAGTCATTTGAAGATATAAACGATGTTCTTGCTGATGCAGAGGAGAAGCAGATATCCGACAGGGCTGTCAATAAGTGGCTGAAAGAGCTCCAGCATTTGGCTTATGATGCGGACGATGTGCTGGACGAGTTTGCCACTGAAGCTCTACAAAAGAAGCTGATCAGGGCAGAGACTGATGCTGATGTTGATGTTGGTGAGGCCAGCACATGTAGGAAGGTACGACGATTCCTCCTTTCTACTTGTTGCACTGGTTTAGCGATGCTCTACTATTTTTTTATTTTTTTTGGAAAAGCAACGAAGAATATTATTAAGCTTATGTAAGAAAAAAGAGAGAGGACGAGATGCTCTACCATTATTAATAATATTATATTCTCTTTTCCTTTTGTCTTTTGAATTTTTTATTTTTTTAACACTTTACACTTTATTATTTAAGCAATGAGAATCCAATTCCTAAAATAATCTTAGGGAGTTTGAAAATTGAATTATCATTCAAATGGTTGCATTCCATTTCATTTTGTTTTTATTCGATGGGTTCGTTTGGAATGTGGGTTGACTTTTTGGTTTTTTGACTTTTTTAGCTTAAAACTAAAAACTCTCGTTTGAGATAGATTTTTTGATTTTTTTGACTTTTGTGAGAGAAAAAAATGAAATGGTTATGATTTGGATGCGATGTTTTATCTTATTAGATTAAAAAAACCTATTTTATTTTTTTTATGACTAAAATAGCTAAAAAACTAAAAAGCCTGACATGTGAAACGAAGGCTATAAGTATTAAAGTTTGCAACTAGATTAATAAATAATTCCTCTCTTTTCTCTCCTTATATTTAATTTTATTTTGACCTACCTATAGGGAACCCTTTTTTTTTTAATATTTTATTTGCCAAACACAAGTACTTTAAAAATAAAATTCTCATATCCAAATAAATTTTTTTTTTTTTTGAAATTTAAAATATTTATGAGGTATTTTCAAAACACGGCTTCGAAGTTAAAGTAATATTTTTAAAAAAAAAAATCAATTTTTTTTTTTTATAATAAATTAGTTTAGAAAAAAGGACATTATGAAACAACTTGGGATATAAGTTTACAACTTGAATTTAAAAATTTTATTTATTAAAAAAAAAAAATTGGAGTTCGGTAAGAAACTCTAGATATATTTGTTGTTTCATTTTCTTTTTTTGGAAGTAAATTGTCTTATAGTTTAGAAAATATACATAGAGTTTAGAAAATATACATAGAATTTCACAAGTTAAACATAATATTTTTTGATACTTTTAAAGTTCACATAATATTTAGTCTTATTTTCATTAGTAATTTGTTAGTCGTATAATGAAAAAATAATATTGTAATTTATTTTACTTTGAACTGTGTATTTTATCTTATTTTCTTTTGTATCAGTTTCAGGCACTTTAACTCTACCAAAGAGAAGAATGATATAATTATACCAAACTTGTAAAGCTGATTATATATATGTATATAAATCTCAGAGGTAATCATTCTAATTTACCTTTTTTTTTCTGTCTTAAAATTTCGAACTTTTATTTGCATTTATTTATTTGTTTTAACATAGCATCATTTTTTAATTAGAAAATTGTACGGAAAAAAAATTATACCCTGCATACTTAGAGAACAGAGAACCCACTTAGAGAACAGAGAACCATATACCCTGCTTGCTAGAGAGGGAGGGAGGGAGGAAGGGCCCTGCTTGCTTTATACCCTGCTTTTCACCATCCAAAAAAATTATACAAAACGTTTGTCCAGAATCATATACCCTGCTTGCTAGTAGGGAGAGAGGGAGGGAGGGAAGGCCTTACTTGCTTTATACCCTGCTTGCTAGAGAACACAGAGAACCATCCAAAATCATATTCTTCATTCAATTACCTACCTACCAAACTTGTTTGAAACAGAAACGTGCAGAGTTCCAAAAAATTGCTCTCAACTCTCTCTCTCTCTCTCTCTCTCTCTCTCTCATATTGCTTTGTTTCATACATTCCTTCCTGGGCTCTTTCACAACAAAGACGAGTAGACATGGATGTGGTGGGGATCTTTATCTCTCCGCTGCTTCAAGCTGTGATTGACAAGTTGTTGTCCGCTGATTTAATCAGCTTGGCGCGTCGTGAGGGTGTCAACACTTCCATCAAGAAGCTGAAGAAGTCATTTGAAGATATAAACGATGTTCTTGCTGATGCAGAGGAGAAGCAGATATCCGACAGGGCTGTCAATAAGTGGCTGAAAGAGCTCCAGCATTTGGCTTACGATGCGGACGATGTGCTGGACGAGTTTGCCACTGAAGCTCCACGAAAGAAACTGATCAGGGCAGAGACTGATGCTGATGTTGATGTTGGTGAGGCCAGCACATGTAGGAAGGTACGACGATTCCTCCTTTCTACTTGTTGCACTGGTTTTACTCCAACTACGATTTCATTTAATTTCGCAATTGAGTCCAAGTTGAAGGAGATCAATGGTCAGTTACAAGAAGTTACTACAAGAATTAAGGAACTCGGTTTGGTCAAAAAGGCTATTGGGGGGATGAAGTCTACAAATGTGTGGCAGAGACCAGAAACTACATATTTGGTGAAAGAGCCTTGTGTTTATGGCAGAGAAGAAAAGAAAAACAAGATTATTGAATTGCTTCTCACAGATGCAGCAACTCAAAACAAAGTCGATGTCATTCCCATCGTGGGCATGGGTGGGATTGGCAAGACTACTCTGGCTCAACTCATTTGGGATGATAATGGTGTCAAAAACCATTTCGATCCGAAAGCGTGGGTTTGTGTATCTGACGAGTTTGACGTTAAGAGAATAACAAAGGCAATTTTGGATGAATTCAATCTTGATTCATGCAATTCGACAGAGTTAAATACCCTTCAACGTAAACTTGAGGACAAACTGGCAGGAAAAAAGTTTTTGCTTGTCCTAGATGATGTGTGGAACTATAGAGATGAAGAGTGGAGTTCACTACAATCTCCGTTTCGAGCTGCAGCACATGGAAGTAAAATCATTGTGACAACGCGAATCACGACTGTTGCACGACAGGTGGGTACAATTGAACACCACGATTTGAAAGAGTTATCACCTGATGATTGCTGGTCAATCTTTGCCCAACATGCATTCAAGAATATAAATATTAGTGAACATCCAGAATTGGAATCAATTGGTAGGCAAATTGTTGCTAAGTGCGGAGGCTTGCCACTGGCAGCAAGGGCCCTCGGTGGCTTATTACGTGACCAAAAGGAGCATAAATGGAAAATGGTACTAACTAGCAATATATGGGATAAACCATACGAGGAAAGCCACATTCTCCCATCACTAAAATTGAGCTATCATCATCTCCCTTCCCATTTGAAGAGGTGCTTTGGTTATTGTGCAATTGTCCCAAAGGATTACGAATTTGGGAAGGATGAATTAGTCTTGTTATGGATGGCAGAAGGTTTAATTGAACACCCAGAAGGTGGAGAACAAATAGAAGATGTAGGCCGCAGGTATTTTCACGAATTGGTGTCTAGGTCATTTTTCCAATTGTCAAGGCATAATAAATTGCTATTCATAATGCATGACCTCATCAATGATTTGGCTCAAGCAGTTGCAGGGGACATCTGTTTTAGGTTGGAGAATAATTCAGAGGGTGGCAAGCAGAACAAGATTTCAGACAAAGCTCGACATTCATCTTATGTTGGTAGTGGATATGAAGGAATCAGAAAATTCAAAGCTTTCGATGATGCCAGATGCTTACGAACCTTCTTAAGGTTTTCGGCGAGTGCATTCAACTACACAACAAGGTACTTGATTCATGATTTGTTGCCAACGTTAAAGTGCTTACGTGAGTTGCGTTTTTATTGTTATGGGATTGATGAACTACCAGATTCCATTGGAGATCTAAAGCATCTACGGTACCTTGATGTATCCCATTCGCGAATTAGGAAGTTACCTGATTCGGTGGTAACTCTCTACAATTTACAAGTCTTGTTTTTGAAATTTTGTGTTAGACTTAAGAAGTTGCCTCTAAACATGGGGAGGCTAGTGAACTTGCGCCACTTTGACATGACTGGCGTGCATATTCCATCATCAGAAGAGATGTCACTACATATAGGTAAATTAACTAATCTCCGAACATTGTCAAATTTTATGGTGGGTAAAGATCGTGGGCGTAAAATAGGAGAGTTGAAAAACCTATCACATATTCAAGGGGCAATACACATATCAAGAATGGAGAATGTCAGTGGTGTTAAGGATGCAGTGGATGCCAATTTAATGTCTAAGGAGGAGTTAAAAGAGTTATCACTAGAATGGGATGAATCTCATAGTTCACAGAATGACATAGTTGAGAGGGATGTGCTTGACGTGATGAGGCCTTTCAAATTTTTGGAACGACTCACCATTAGTGGGTATGGTAGTACAAAATTTCCAAACTGGGTTGGAGATGTTTCATTCTCTAAAATGGTATTCATGTGATTAAAAGGTAGTAAATATTGCACATCATTGCCACCACTTGGACAACTGCCCATGCTTAAAGACCTTTACATTGAAGGAATGAGTACAATGAAGTGCCTTGGTTGTGAGTTCTATGGGCAGCAGTGTGGTGCCAAACCTTTCCCCTCTCTAGAGAGACTGAGCTTTGAGTTTATGACAGAATGGGAGGATTGGTCTGCTTTTGAAACAGAGGGAGTTCAGTCGTTCAGTCATCTCAGTGAGCTTTCCATCATAAATTGTCCCAAACTTGTTGGAAGATTACCAAATGATCTTCCTTGTCTCAATTCTCTCAAAATTGATGGTTGTCCGCAGTTGTTGATTGATGTTTCGAGCCTCGTTCAGCCATCACTTGCATCCTTGTCAATGAATAATGTTATGCTCCCAAGCCTTCCAGCACTCTTAGGGATGAAGAACACGATTGAACTTGGTTCCCTCACCATGGATATTAGCCATGTTACAGTTCCCGACTCCTTCTGCGATCCAAGCACAATTGATGAAGAGTTACTGGCTACTGAAATGTCTAAGCATTTGACTTCAATAGCTGCTTTGAGCATTTCTCATGTTGAAAAATTGGCGTTCCTACCGACATGGTTTACTCGAGATTTGATGGGACTCGAGAAATTGGGCATTAGTAACTGCGAAGAACTCATAACATTGTGGCAGAATAAGGTGAGAACACAAGTATGTCTCCCCTCCCTCTGCCATTTGCAGATTTCTAATTGTCCCAAACTCGTTTGCTTGTTTGAAGAAGAGCAAGAAAAAGGAGGAGAAGGTTCGAAAGAGCAGCAACATGAGGGGCTACCTTGCATGACGAGACTCGAGTATTTAACAATTGAAGAGTGTGGAATGCTGAAAAAACTGCCACAAGATCTGCACACATACACATCTCTTGGGGTGCTTAGAATCCGCAATTGTGCAAGTCTGATCTCTTTTCCAATGAAAGGTTTGCCATCTATGCTGAGAGAACATGGGGTTTCAGGGTGTGATGCTTTGGAGTCCCTACCTGAGTTGATGACACTCAATAATCTGCAAGAGTTGAAGGTTTCTGAATGTGCATCACTCACATATTTATTGTCAAGAGGTGGGCTACCATCCACACTAAAACAACTTTGGATTCGTTGGTGTGCAAAGCTGGAGTCACTTTTTGCAGAGGAAGAGATCAAAATTGATTGTCCATCTCTTGAATATATTGAAATTACGTGTTGCAGCAGTCTCAAATCTTTACCTGAAGCCAATAATCTCAAGAATCTCAGTCAATTGCAGATATACGATTGTTCTAATCTGGAGCCCCTGTCACTTGGTGGTCGTGATGAGAACAACAACATCAACAAACTTTCTTCTCTTCACACTTCGCTTCAAGATCTGTGTTTAGTTTATTGCAGAGCTGGAATTGAATCCTACTTTGTCAAGGAAGGGAGTTTCCCCACCAACCTCAGTTCACTTGCAATTGGGGATATCAGAGTGGAGGTCGGTCAACTTCCACTTCCACTTCTGCCTCCATCTCCATTAGAGTGGGGTTTGCACAAACTCTCTTCTCTTACAACACTCACACTTGATGGCCCAGATTGGCCGTGGGGAGATACGGTGTCCTTTCCAGAAGAAGGGATGTTCCTGCCCACCTCTCTCATCAATTTGACCATTTGGAACTTCCGAAATCTGGAAAGACTCTCTTATGAGGAGTTTCAAAACCTCACCTCTCTTGAAACACTTGAAATCTGTTGTTGCCCTAGGCTCGCGTCCTTTCCAAAGGAAGGTGTCGCCACATATAGGTAAATTAACTAGTCTCCAAACATTGTCAAATTTTATGGTGGGTAAAGATTGTGGGCGTAAAATAGGAGAGTTGAAAAACCTATCGAACATTCGAGGGGCAATACACATATCAAGATTGGAGAATGTCGGTGGTGTTAAGGATGCAAGGGATGCCAATTTTATGTCTAAGGAGGAGTTAAAAGAGTTATCGCTAGAATGGGATGAATCTCACCGTTCGCAGAATGACATAGTTGAGAGGGATGTGCTTGACGTGATGAGACCTTTCAAATTGTTGGAACGACTCACCATCATTGGGTATGGCAGTACAAAATTTCCAAACTGGGTTGGAGATGTTTCATACTCTAAAATGGTGTTCATGCGATTAAAAGGTAGTAAATATTGCATATCTTTGCCACCACTTGGACAACTACCCTTGCTTAAAGACCTTTACATTGAAGGAATGAGTACAATAAAGTGCCTTGGTTGTGAGTTCTATGGGCAGCAGTGTGGTGCCAAACCTTTCCCTTCTCTAGAGAGACTGAGCTTTGAGTTTATGACAGAATGGGAGGATTGGTCTGCTTTTGAAACAGAGGGAGTTCAGCCGTTCAGTCATCTCAGTGAGCTTTCCATCATAAATTGTCCCAAACTTGTTGGAAGATTACCAAATGATCTTCCTTGTCTCAATTCTCTCAAAATTGATGGTTGTCCGCAGTTGTTGATTGATGTTT